CATGTAGAAAGCTATGGTTATCACAACTGGTCATAGAATTTACGCTGGGTAAGGAAAGTAAGACATGAGGAAGATCAGGGCAGTGATAAAACTAACAGATTTAAAAGAGTGAATATCCCAACAGGTTCAAAGAATTGTTGGAGTAATAGAAATTGTGATATGAAAGATAAGATGTGATAGAGTGAAAACTGTGAATTTGAGATGGTGAAAGAATTGAACTTTGGAAAAACAAGATCTAGAAATGAGCAGTAAGGTGGAGTAGAGAGAAGAATTCTCTGGAGAAGAGGAATTCCACATTTGAAGACACCAGTGTACTAGAAGAACTGTCCACATGAACACTGAAATCACCGGGAATTATAACAGAAGTATTACTGGAGTGAATGCAGTCAACAGTTCTCCGGAGGTCTCCCATTTCTGCACATAATGTGAGCAGAGTTACTAACTTTACTGTGGTCTATCTTTTCAAGCAAGCTTATACAGCAAACAGCTGTGGAAAATAGACTGTCTCCCTCCAAAGCAAAAGGTAGGTTTACCTATACACTTCCTCCTCCTCAAGGACAGACATGCTTTGTGCCCATTATGAAAGATTCCAGTAACCTAAGCTTGGGTTTCTTCTCCTATAGTTCAATCCACTGTCTATGCAGGTATCACGTGCCCGCCCTCTTGAAGTCACATTATGGGAAGTGAGACTTGAAAACCAATGTAAGCAAATGCTGTTACTTTGGCTACCACTTTTGCTGTTAGTAATATAGTCTTTTGTTTCTGGCCCAGAAATCTCTCATCTTCTGCAAGCATCCATGAAACTGTGGTAGTTAACTTTTCAGCTTGCAAGTAGGGTAAAATCTCTTTGCTAAAAAACTTTTGCAAAATCTCCAATGAATGGGAGGTGGGAATGAAAGATTACAGCAACAGGATGAGTGGTATGGTATGATAACATAAGATAAAGTTTGGAGGTGTTTTAGAAGAGAGAATGATCTGGAAAAAGCAATGAGAAGCAAGAACACCTCCAGACTCAATAGTATGAAGAAACTGTGAAAGAAAACTGCTACCACTGGAGAAGGTTGCAGTAATGTCATCAGGGAAACCAGATTTAACTTACAGCAAAAAGGTGAAGGTAATATTAACAGAAGAGATGGAAGATAAAGAAGAATTTGCTGATGACTGACCTTGAGCTCCAGGGACATTATGAAAGATTTTCAGGAGATAGAGAGGAGGAGGTTTTAGGGTCAGATCTGGATATGTATTGTAAAAGACACATGAGCCTTGGGCTTCCTGTAGTGACTTACATGAACAGGAAAAAAAGGGGCATGAGGGAATTAGTTGTGATTAGTCTTAATCAGATTAAATTAGTCTACATGTTCTTACATCTCTCATCCCTCTTTTATCTACCCAGTATCCTCTATGGAACACTTTCTTACCAAACAAAACATCATTTTAGAAAATTTAGAACATGAGTTTTTAAAACTATATATGCCAAATTTGTTAACTTACTTGAATTAGATCTAAAATGCCAAGTTCACTTTCTGAAGAATCCACACAGAAGACAAAATATAACGTTGCATAATGTCTATAAATCAGTTTGTTGTCAGATCCTCCAATTAATCTATAGGACAAAACAAAACAATTGGAATGTTATATGAACAAAAAGAAAAATATTTTCATTAGCTCAAGCAAACTGACAATTTGCTTCAAAACCTTTTATAAAATGAAAGGTAACATTTAATGGCATACATTCAAGTAAACTTGTATCAGAGTAAGTTTTATAAAATAAGATGGTGTTTTCACCAAAAATGTCAAGTAAAAGATGTTAGTGCTTAAATTTCATTCATTCATTCATTCATTAACCTCTCTACTGAATACCTACTATGTGCCAGGAGCTGATAGTGGGTAAGGAGCAATAAACAAACAAATACATTAGAAAAAATTATCAGAGTAGAAGTTGCTATATATAGAGAATCAAAATAGGATGATACCATATTGATGGATTCTTTACTTCAGATTGGATGTTAAGACTGACATTTAGGCTGGGATCTAAAGATAATGAGCCAGCCATGAAAAAATTTAGAGAACAGCATTTCAGGCAAAGGTAACAACTAATAAAAAAGACACTTCATCAAGAACAAAATATAGATGTTCAGGGAAGAGAAAGAAATCCTCCAACAACGAAAAATCAGTAAGCAATGAGATGAGAGAAGTAGGCAGAAATCAGATCAGAGGGCATTTGTAAGTGCTTACTGGATTCAACTCCATTGGTCACAGTAAGTTACACAGGTTAAGACTGATGAGCAACTAGAAAAAAAAAATGACATTTCTTCTTAAATTTGGACAGATTTCCCATTAAGATCTCCAAAAAATACATTTTGTTTTGGAATATAAATGGAAAAAAAAAAACTGAGCTAAGAGATACTCAGTTCTTTTATCAAATGTTTTTACTTATGTTGATTGAAATTACAGCATTTAAAAAAATAATTTAGAAATCATTGCAAACATCATATATTTTGCTATAGTTATTTTATAATCAAGTTTACAATAATTAGTTCACCTCAAAAGACCCTTTAACACTAACATAATATAAAATCAAGACTAAATGTAACCAAAGCTAATTGAACAATCAAACAAGACATGGGAAAATAACATCTATCACTTACTCAGTAAAAGTAACACTGAATTTACAAATTCTGTAGAAATAACTTCTTTACGTATACACTATCTTTATGATCTCTAATAGCAAAAAAGGTAATAATATTTGACCAAAAAAATTTCTACTATGCAAGATATATTTTTAGAAAAGATATTCAATATAAAAATATGTATGTGCACTTTAAAGATTCCCTGAGATTACTTCTATAGGCTGTGACTGCAATTGTTCCTTGAAGGAGACAAAAAGAGCACAAAAAGCAGGCTTTGCTTTATCCTGAATAAGCAGTTTAGCGGTTATCTTAAACCTTTATTTGGCTCTGCTTTAAAAGAAGACCAAACTTTTGAAACTTTCAAATGGTTATTAATGTTATAAAAAGAAAGCAAAGATATAAATATGGCAAGTTAGTATTTTTCATTTAAAAATACTTCATCTTTAAACTACAATACTGATTAATATTGACACAAACTCTTGTACAGAATACAATATATCATATAAAAACACAGAATTTTAGAAATCCTCTCAGTCAAATTCCTCATTTTACAGAGGTGAAAAAACAGAGGTACAAGAATTTTAAGTTACCTGATCGAGAAAATCAGAATGTTAAGGATAAAACTATGACTAAACCAGATGTGTAGCCTCATCTCTGATGCAGTATTTGCTTTCTACTTTTTATAAGGTTGGAAAAGAATAATCACAAAGTCAAGCCATTATTTCTAGTTCAAACAATGCCCTGGGTTTGATCAATCAGGCTCTTGCATGTCTACCACATGCAGTACATTGTACTGAGTGATAAGTTTCCTATGAGATAAAAGATTAAGAGGTTGAGATGAGAGAAGTGATAGTAATAGCAAAGACGACTGAACTACAGAAGTTTAGAGAAATAAGTACAATTAAAATAGAAAAACAGAAAGCAGGTGTACCCGTCTCGACTATTAAATTGGAGATCTTGAGTTAACAGCAAAATTTACAAATTATAAGTATATATTTATAAGTGTAACTTTAAGTGCAGCATGATATAACCTTTTATGAAATGAAAGTAAAATTTCTACATGATAATAAGTAATTTATGGTCAGGTAAGAATGACTTCTCTACTATCCTATTTTTCATAATATGCATCGTACACCTTAAAATACAGAAGTGTAGGTTTCTCTGACTAACCTGTGATTATTCATAATGGGGATCAGTTAAAGTTCAGTTTTTGAATTGTCAATGAGGAAATATCTTATTAAGAAATTAATAATATAAACCTGGGGGAACGTTACAAAACTATTTGAAAGCAAATTGTTTTCAAGGACCCATTAATTTAAAAGTATTTATTTATAGTGGCCGGCAAGTTAACTATAAGTAACTCTTACTTATTAATTTAAAATAGAAAAACATATTAGTTGAATTCTAATCTATCTATATAGATATGCCTGTATATACACATGCACACACATAGACCTATATTTGAAAAGCAGACTTGAGACGTCCTTGTAATTATAAAATAGAGGTACTTTAAAACTTTATGAACAGTTCTATTCACTCAAAGGAATTCTTTGTAGTCATTAAAAATAATAAGATTGTTCTACATGTCTTTATGTGCAAAGCTTTTCAAAATATTAAGTGAAAACAAGCAACATGCAAACTAGCATACATAGTTTGATCCCATAAGCAAAATGTTTGAAGATCCTACTTTTACATGTTAGTCAATGTAAAATTAATTTTCTAGAAGGTTATACAAGAAACTGGGAAGAAGGACTAAAGTTGGGAGACGGAGACTTAGTTTACATTTTATACTTCCTTGTAATGTTTGAATTTTTGCTATAGGAATATATTACCTTTATATAAAATACCTTTATAAAATTCTTAAAAATAAAAAAATTGTATATCTTTAAAAAATTCTTTAAGTTAGATTTATAGCTAACGTAGGCAGCAATTAATTCACTTGATCCAATTAATCAAACTTAAAACACTTTTACCATAAACTGATTAAACATTATATATTTTAATCATATAAATAAAGATTAGAAATGTCTATGAAATGCTTTACTTACAATCCTCCTTCTAGGAAATTACAAACATTTTCATCTCTCTTAGATACCAAATGGAATGTCTCCCTGATGATTTGCTGTTGTGTATCTTCACTCTAAGAAAGAATAATTCATATATGTTAGGATCGAATTTATAGATTTGACAGTATTTTAAGAATTTTAAAAAATAAAAGACAGTAATATCTGCATGGAAAATTCATCTAAGAGAGAGTTCCTTGGAGAATTAACGTATTACATCCTACAGAAACAAACCCAACATTTTTTTATGAAAAACAAAAGCAAAAACAAAATCAATACTTTATAGTTTACAACCACAATATAACATTTCTAAGTTTCAAAAACCAATAAGAAATATTAGATGGATGAATTATGAACTGTAGTAAAAGGGACACCAGATATTAACTAGTCAAAGCCCACTGCTTTTCAAATGAGTAAACTGAAACACAGAAATAAAGTTATAAATAATTCATGTAGCTAATCTATATTTTAATGGAAAAAAGTTTGGAGCTTCCAATTAAGTAAGTTTAACTAAATGTAAATTGAGGTTAAGAATCCATCCATCTTATTCATTTTTGTATGTTATCAGAAAATGAAAACCGGAGTGGTGAATAAACTATGAAAGCTGTTTAAGTACATACAGGGAGAAAAAGAAAAAAGGAAAAAAGGTGCGTAGGGGGGAACCCTCCTAATTAAAACCACAATGAAAACATTAAGTATCTATACTATGGATAAAGACATATAAATATGTCTAATAATTTCAAGTACTGGCAAGAATGTGGAACAACAAAGCACTTATATAATACTAGAGAACTGTAAATTGGTACAATCACTTCCAAAAACAGACCAGCATTACCTAGTAAAGCAGAACATGTGGGTACCCTAGCACAATGATATACAACTTCTAGTTATACACTAGAGAAATTCAAAAAGATGTTTCCAAGAATGCTTACAGCAGCACTGTTTGCAATAGCCAAAAAGCGACAATATAAACGTCCATCAATGCTAGAATGCATAAATTGCAGTTTATTCCTGAACGGAATATTACACAGCAATGAAAATGAATGACTATAATAGATACAATGCCAATGATGATCGTAGAAATGTTGTTTTTAGACCTTAGAAATGTTTAAATCAAGTCACAGAAGACTGTAAACATGATTCTTTTTTTTTAGTTGAAAAACATGTAAAACTTAACAATAAATTGTTTAAGGACAAAAAAATACATGGCAAAACAAAAATAAAGGACAATTTTAAAAAGTCAAGATGGTGGTCAGAAAGTAGAGTAGAAATAGGATGAAATATAAGAGAGGTACAGAAAGATTCCAAAGGTATTGGTAATTTTTCTTTTTAAATGGGGTAGTGAATAGACAGTAGTTAGGGAATTATTTCTTATCTTACAGATATTTAATATATAAATTCTTTTATCTATTCAATATTTCGTTAAAAATTTGAAAAGGAGGGAGGGGGGGGAAAGCACTGTATAAGAGAGCTGCCCTCTTCCTTATGTTTGTCTCCACCACCTCCCTCTAGTCTTCATCTAGAGCTAAATGGTGTCACCTGGATGGCCTTACCTACGCTTGCTGCTTCAACCACGTTAATTCACCTACATCCCTAGAGCCTAAAAGAAGCCTACTACTGTAGACCCACCATTTTCTGTGTTAGTGATAGATACTTCCAGCTTCCAAATATAAATCTCTGCTTATAGCTCATAAAATTATATTAAAACTTACATGTTTAAGACTAAAAGCATATTTTTTTCTAAAACCTATTTTTTTTTTATTATATCATAATCCTGGTTAATGGCATCACCATTCACCAGACTCTAAAGCCAGCAAAAAATTTTTAAGCATTTTATTTTATTATTAGTTTCAAGAATACAGTACATTGCGTAGACATTTATATAGTTTATGAAACAACCCCCCCGATTACTCTATCACCCATCTGGCTCTACACAGATGCTGACTACATTCCCTATGTCATACTCCCTTTCCCCGTGACCATCTCTCAACTACTAATTTGTACTTCTTTAGCCCTTTGCCCCTTTCTCCCAGCCTCCCAAACTCCCTCACTTTTGGCAGTCACCAGATTGTCCTCTGTATTTGTTAGTCTGTGTTTGACTATTTTGTTTTTTGTTCCTTAGATTCCACATATAAGGGAAATCATAAGGTATTTGTCTTTGTCTGACTTATTTCACTCAGCATAATTACCTCTAGGTCTATCCATATCGTTGCAAATGGTAGGATTTCATTTTTTTCTTTTTTTATGGCTGAATAATACCCAATTGTATATATGAACCATGGGTCAAAAGGTAGATCTAGACTGTTTTAATTTTTTGAGGAAACTCCAGACTGTTTTCTATAGTGGGTATATCAATTTGCAATCCCACCAACACTGTATGAGGGTTCCTTTTTCTCCACATTCTCATCAGCACTTGTTCTTTGATTTATTGATGATAGCCATTCTAACAGGTGTGAGAAGTTCTCATTGTGATTTTAATTTGCATTTCTCTGATGATTAGTGACCTTGAACATCTTTTCATATGTCTATTGGTCATATGTATTTCCTCTTTGGAGAAATATCTGTTCAGGTCTTCTGCCCATTTTTTAACTGGATTGTTTTTTATTGTTGAGTTGTATGAGTTCTTTATATATTTTAGATATTAATGCCTTTGTCAATTGTGTCATAAGTGGATATCTTCCCCTATTCAGTGGGTTGTCTTTTCATTTTGTTGATCATTTCCTTTGCTGTGCAAAAACCTTTTAGTTTGATGTACTCCCATTTATTTTTTCTTTTGTTTCCCTTCTCTGAGCAGGTATGTCTGAAAATAAATTACTGGTAGCAATATTGGAGAGATTACTGCCTATACTTCCTTCTAGAAGTTTTGGGGTCTCACATTTAAGTTTTTAATCCATTTTGTCTATTCTTGTATATGGCGATCCAGTTTCTTTTTTTTCTTTTTTTTTTTTTTACCATGTATCTGTCCAATTTTCCCAGCACCATTTATTGAACAGACTGTCTTTACCCCATTGTACATTCTTGCCTCCTTTCTCATATAATAAGTGAGCGTATGGGTGTGGATTTTGGGGCTCTCTATTCTGTTCAGTTGATCAATATATCTGTTTTTATGCCAGTACCATGCTGTTTTGATAACTGTAACCTTGTAGTATAGTTTGATATCAGGTAGTGTGATAACTCCAACTTTGTTCTTCTTTCTCAAGATTTCGAAGACCTCGTGGCTATTCGAGGTCTTTCATGGTTCCATATAAATTTTAGGATTATCTCTTCTCTGAAAAATGCCATTGGTATTTTGATAGGGATTGCACTGAATCTACAGATTGCTTTGGGTAGTATGGCCATTTTAACGATGTCGATTCTTCCAACCCATGAGCATGGTATATGCTTCCATTTATTTGTATCTTCTTCAATTTCTTTTTTTCAATGATTTATAATTTTCTGAGAACAGGTCTTTTACCTCCTTGGTTAATTTGATTCCCAAGTATTTTATTGTTTTTGATGCAATTGTAAATGGGATTGTTTTCTTAATTTCCCTTTCTGAAAGTTCATCATTGGTGTATAAAAATGCCAATGACTTCTGAATATTACTTTTAACCAAATCCTTGCTTAAAGGTTAAACAATGTCCTCATTACCACTTTGTAGGCCATCCTGTAACTCTTCTGCCCCTCAGCTTCGTATCACTTTTAAATTTAAAAGCTCCCAATTTGCAAACTGTTTCTTATATGTACAATAAACTCTTACTAAATACTATTGGTTCCCAAGTATTTTATTGTTTTTGATGCAGTTGCAAATGGGATTGTTTTCTTAATTCTTCTTTCTGAAAGTTTCATCATTGGTATATAAAAATGCAACCAACTTCTGAATATTAATTTTGTATCCTCCTACTTTACTCACACGGATCAGTTTTAAGTTTTTTGGTGGAATCTTTAGGGTTCTCTACATATAGTATCATGCCATCTGCAAATAATGACAGTTTTACTTCTTCCTTTCCAATGTGGATGCCTTTTATTTCATTTTTTTTGTCTGATTGCTATACCTAGGAAAGCTAAAAATCTGATGATTGCTTTTCTTTTACTTTCCATGTCCATTCAGTCTCCAACTCCTGTTAATTCTATTTCAGAAACAGTAAAGCTGGATTCAAAGACATTATTTCAACTCAGATTCTTATTCTTACCCAGAATACTATAAGAACCTCCTAAATGTTTACTCTGCACCTGTCTCTCTACTCCATCCTACATTATCAGAATTACTTCCTTAAAAAAAAAAAAAAACTTATACTTCCTTTCTTAAAGCCCTCCAGTTTCTAACTGATCTCAAATAAAATCCAAACTCCCTATCATGCCATAAAACACCCTCCAAAACCTACGTCTGAAGTTTTATCAACTTCTTCTCCTCCTACACAATGTGCTCTAACCACAATGAACTTCTCATCATTCACTTCCTCACCCCATTTTCTAGCAGTATCCTTTTAAGACTCAGCTCAAAAATGATTAACTTCTGTGGTTGTTTTTTACTTTCCCAAGAAAAATTAGTTCTTTCTTTTTAAGTGCTTCCTTGGTACTGTTTCTATTCCTATTATACACTTATAACAATGTGCTAAATTTCCTTTGTAGATATCTGAATTCTACCAGACTCTGAGCTCCTCCAGATATTCTCTGAATCCGAAATTCTCAATACCTGGCTGGCACAGAGTAGCCAGTAAGTGTACTGAATAAATTAATTTGTAATCTAAAAGATGGGATCCACATTTCTTTATATTAGAAAAAAATCTAGGTTATCTTCCACAAGAAAAAAAAAAGGCAATGAAGTAAAGACAGTACCATATAATAGTTAAAAGTATGAGCCCTGTTCTAATTAAGATGGTAGATTAAACACACATCTACTTTTGTTGCCCTCTCACCCAGCTGAAACAACAATAAAGGGTTTTAGTTTTGTTTTGCTTTTTTAAGTCATAAACCCATAAGGATAAAAAAAAGTGGGAAAGGAAGACAAGGCAATAAAATTTGGAAAGTTGTTGAATGAGTGGTAAAGTATTAAGTAAACCTCAGAAAATATAATCCTAAATTGGTGACAGGGAAA